CTGAGAATACAGCCACTGTGTGGGCACATAAGAAGATCATCAATATAGAGCATGCAGACATCATACATAAACCATATATACCCAGTGATTCTGTCTTTTGATAGTCTAGTTCAGTGGTGTCGAACTGTGGCCCTCCAGATGTTCTTGGCCTTCAACTCCCAGAAATCCTGGCCAGCAGAGGTGGTGGTGAAGGCTTCTGGGAGTTGAAGTCCAAGAACATCTGGAGGGCCACAGTTCAACACCACTGGTCTAGTTGTTGAGTTTGGAGTTGGTCTGTTTGTGTTTGTTTTTAATGCACTGGTGCTGCTTTTATTAATACGTTAAAGCCCAATGCAAGCTGATGTCTAGAGGTTTCCCACACTGCAGAGAAAACTAATACAATGAAGAAAACTAGCACCATGGCAGGAAAAAAAAACAGGCTATCATGCAGGAAAACGTTCGAAAACCAAATTGGGTTACGGAGACGCAGTCAACTAATCAGATGATGCCATGGTAAAATATTACTATATTTAGTCAGAACTGGTCAATCTAGTTGCATCCTTGACATTAACGGTGCATGAACTAGATGTCTCTTAGAAGTGAGCGTCAATACTCAGGTGGTATCACAGGTGCCTCCTAATAGTTACGTCTTAGTACTGATTATGGCCATGAATACAAGAATGCAAGAAAAACCAAATTGGGTTACGGAGACGCAGTCAACTAATCAGATGATGCCATGGTAAAATATTACTATATTTAGTCAGAACTGGTCAATCTAGTTGCATCCTTGACATTAACGGTGCAGTCATCTCTTAGAAGTGAGCATCAATACTCGGGTGGTATCACAGGTCCCTCCCAACAGTTACGTCTTCATACTGATGATGGCCATGAATACAAGAATGCAAGGGTCAAACAAGAGATGGTTAGAAGGGCAAAATCCCTATGTGACATCCCTATTCCCCCCTTGCAAGGTAGGTCAAGCTGAGAAAGAGTGACTGGCCAAAGGTCACTGTGTTACTTTCAAAGCACTGTGGGTGACTAGGAGCTACAGCCCAATGCTCTAACCACTACACCACATTGCCATTGATTAAGAATGTAAGAGCAGCATGGCCAAAAATCTCCAAGCTTGCACTTGATTCTGGCTTTGGGAAGGTATCTCCAATCTTGTTGAACTACAACCCCCATCAGTCTTAGACAGCATAGCCCACAATGTGGGATGATAGGTATGGCAGTCCACCAGAGTCTGGAAGGATAAGCATTCCCCAGTTCTGCATATTCCAGGGGTTAACAAATGTGGAGACCCAGATGTTCCCAGACTGTAAGTCCAAGAGGTCTTAGCCAGAAGAGCCAATAGGATTTGTAGTCCAAGAACATCCAGTACTCCAGGATCAGGCACCCATTGATCTAGTCTAATATCACAATCACAGCCATAGCCAAACAGGAACCTTTAGAAAAATTCACATCTGGTGTGTAAAGGCAGCTACATTCTCCCGTGGTTGCCATCCGTTGCTGTTGTATTCTGTGCCACACTGCTCCTAAACATGGAAGTTCCATTCAGCCAACATAATTCATTATCTCCATTGAGAGATTGGTCCTCCATTCAACAGTTGTGGTTGACACACACTCCTTTTTATAGTTCCCTAAATAGGTCAATGAATCGCCCACTGGCAACATCTACCCAAATTCAATAAGCAGTCAGTCCATGAAGCAATGTTTTACTATGCAAGCAGAAAACCAGAGCATCCAGACTAAACTTTTTTATTTCCCCTGCTTAGCTACTTCTCTGCATGCCAGAAGCCTTCGGACATACCAGTCCCTGCCTTCTGCCATTGCTCTAAATGATAACCCTCCAGGCAAATCTTCACCCCTTGCATACTAGTGATGGGGAAAAGTGGCTTAAGATACACAAAATTGAATGGGAAGCTTAGGCCAGCTCCTTATTTAGGACCTACCTTAGTAACACAGAAATACAGAGCAGGAATTATGGACCGGAAAGGAAGGCCCTAGGCAGCAGCTAACTGCTGTTCTGTGTCACCAAAAAAGTGGACAACATGCAGTCTGGGGCCTACATCTGAAAGAGAGAATGAGAGTCGGGTGGCAGCAAAAGAGAGAAAGAAAAGGGTCTGGAAGAGAGAATGAGAGTCGGGTGGCAGCAAAAGAGAGAAAGAAAAGGGTCTGGAAGAGAGAATGAGAGTCAGGTGGCAGCAAAAGAGAGAAAGAAAAGGGTCTGGAAGAGAGAATGAGAGTCGGGTGGCAGAAAAAGAAAAGGGTCTGAAAGAGAGAGAAGGAGAAATGAGTGGTAGAAGGAGAAAGAAAATAAAAAGAAAATTTGGGGTGTCATGAAAAAACACCCAATGGGGTGTGTGGGATGTGTGTTATTTTTTTATTATTATTATTTCTTGTTTGTAACAAGGGACAGGAAGAGAGGCTTGAGGGACACTCTGCCTCAGGCATCCAAATAGCTTGAAGCAGTTCCCCAAAGGCACACATGTATCAGTCTGCTGCAGAAAGGGACTTCTGAAACCTTCCTGTCTCTTAAGCTTCATCTGGGGGACGTTTTTGTAGCATATAGGCCATTTCTTCAGAGGCCACAAAAGCACATGCCGTACACCCTTGCTCGTCTTCTTAGGTGCCACAAGACTCCCGTTACAAATACTTTGGCTGGCTTTAGGGACTATGTGTGCAGGCAGAAGCTCCTTTGGGGAGAGGGCACCTTGATGTGGGCCAGGGGGGGTGTTCTCTGCCTCCTCAGGCAGCAAAAAGTCTTGGGATGGCCCTGAAAGCCTGTGGCGGAAGGAAGGAAGGAGGGAAGGAAGGAGGGAGGGAAGGAGGGAAGGAAGGAAGGAAGGAAGGAAGGAAGGAAGGAAGGAAGGAAGGAAGGAAGGAAGGAAGGAAGGAAGGATGGATGGATGGATGGATGGATGGATGGATGGATGGATGGATGGATGGATGGAAATAAGTGTAAGAAAATGGGGAAGGTAGGAAGAATAACATGGAGAAAGAAAAGGAATTGTGGAAAGAGAAGAGAAAAAGGAATGTAGAAACAGAGGGGGGGGAAGGAAGTAGGAAAAAGAAAGAGGGAAGAAAATAAGGAAACTGAGCAACAACTTTATATTACAGCCTCAGCCACTACCAGCTCTGGCTTTGCCTGTAACAGAAAAGCTGGCTCCAAACGATGCCTCCTACAGGACTACATGCTTGTCTGACCTCTCCCATATTTGTGCTGGCCTGGTTCTAAGATATAAATCCCGCATCTTCCAGGATTGTACCCAAAAGTACAATCGAAAGTTGGGTTTGCCTTCTTCGAATGGCCCTTCTCGCCCCACAATAAGGAAAACAACACCATGCTTCCCCCGCCATAAAGTCAGCTAGCACCTCTGGTTCAAGGGGTTTATCAGAGCCCTTTTATGGGATCCGATAGTTTAATATGTACAGGACGCTTTTCACATGAGGGAGTGGAGAGAGAAGCTTTTGAAAATCAAGGACGTTGCACCCCTTGCAGTGGAAATAAATCTACCCTCTCAGGTTCCCACTTCATTCTCTGCAACCCTAGAAATCTTGCAAGAGTTGACAGTATTTTTATTCTGAATGCTAGAAGAATATTCTGTGAAAATGAAGACTTGTGCCAGGATATGAGAGAGGGAGAGAATTAACATAAAATCAGAAAGGGGGGGGACATCGTTTTCTTTAACATGGGAGAGGGGCAAGATAAAAGATGGATTAGTGGAATACAAAACTCCATTTCTTTATTTTGTAATTCCTCAATCAGGTCTACAGCCTTTAAACAGACACTCCCCCTGTCCAAATGCAGCAAATTCTTAAACACAGAATAAGACTAGCAAGGCAAAATAAGGGCAAGTATTTAATCACACAAAACACACACAGGTAGGTGAAATGATCTTATAGACTTTGAGGCCGCTTCTGCAAAAATTAAGCATGACAGCTTGGAAAGGAACACCAGACATCAATTCAGAAAAGTTGCCTCCCTCAGAGGACCGGGGACATGCCCGAGGAAGGTGCCGGCCATGTGCAGAAAAGGATGCCACGGATTTGCAGTCAAAAGGGCTCTTCTGCTTCAATGCACACTTTACTCCCGCATCTTCCAACACGTGCTTTCAGCCATCCAAAAAAATTTTTTTTTAAAGCAAATGGACATGTAGCTTTTGACACATGTCAGTCAAGATCCCTTCTTCAAGACCTCAGAATCCCTCCAGAGAAACACAGCACCTAATTTCTCATGTCATAAACTTATAAAAGCACTCCCCAAAACATCTCGGCTTCCATAGATAATGAGCAGAGATTTAATTCTAGGACCTGCCAGAACTGAGGAGTTATGTGTAGGTACAGATACCTTGCATGTTTCCTAATCATCCTCCTTTCAAGGCCGCAGAGGTTGGGGGGGAGGGGTGTCACCTCCCCACTCCAGAGTTTTCGATTCAAAGGTAAAACTCAGCTCAAGTCACATAAATGCCATCAGATCTTATAGATTTAAAATTAAAAACTAGAGAAGGGAGGTAAGAAAACCCTTCTGTGGCTCTTTCTTATTATCTTCTGGTGCTCTTGGAGGAGAGGGAAAGGGGAAACCTCGCTACCAGTCCCTCTGAGAAAAGGCTGTTCCGTGTGTGAAGCCAGAAAGCATTTAAAAATCAGATTTCATTTGTCAAGCTTCCAAACCAGCGCTACAAACCACTAATTATTTCCTTTTCTTTTCCTCATCCCTGGCTGGAGCTCGGCTCGTCAACAATGCCTCAGACAGGATTAAAGATTAAAAATAAATTCCACGTGTGATCCCTGTTGAATGATATGGGGAGACAGGGAAGTGAAAAGAGACAAAAAGCACAGCCCTGGCGTGGAGCATGAGGAAGGAAGAAATAAACAAACCCCAATACCAGCTTTGCCCAGTCACTGGTCTTCTCAGGGAGGGAGGGAGGAGGGATGGAGCTGAGAAAGCCAGTTCCGAGAGAAGGGTAGAAAGTTAGGAGCGAGGGCAAATGAAGATTTTTTTTTTTTTTGCATCTTACCTTTGGATAAAACCAAAGTCAGGCTGAGCAGCAGAACCCAGAGACAGCCAGACATGTTTCCCAGACAAGGCATATCCAGAGCAAGGGAGCAGAGAAGTTAGATCCAATCCCCAGGGACTTGGAAATCATCACAAAGCAAATGTTTGAGCATCTTTCAGTCTCCGGTCTGTGTCTTTCTCTCTGTCCTTCGGGAAAATGAATAAGCAGCAGTTCATCTGCAAAAAGTCCAAGATATCTCCTCCAGGAGTTTCCCTGGGTATCGACTGTTCTGGGCAAGCTTTGCTCCTCAATCACAAACCACCACCATCATCATCACCCAGTTCTTCCTATTAAGAACAAGAAAACAGAGATACATCCTGAGGTCCGAAAAAGCAGGCGATCTCCGTGTCAGCCGGTGCCAGCCACAGATCTGGGGGAAGCAGCGTCTCATCCATGCCTCCAAATCCGAGCAGGATCGCGAGAGGTTTCAGGCGAGCCCTCCTTTTTAACGTCCAGACGTGCAATTGACCAGGAAGCAGCAGCAGCAGGCGGAGGCGACACGCATTCCGTGCAGATACGGGGAGAGATTTATATATGTGTTTTTTTTTTAATGTCCTTTTTATTAGATCCTGGGGTAGGAAGGGGGTGCAGGGAAGGGAGGAGGCGGAAAGTTTACAAGCCCCCAAAATAACAAGGAAACCCGCCGGCTTGCAGGTCCAACGCTTCCCCCGGGGCGACGCTGAAGGTGGGGGAGAGAAAAAGGGAATAAAAGTTGGGCGCTCTCGGTCCTTGGAAGGAGGCTGGGGGGGAGGGGAGGAGAGATCGGCGCAGAGCGATCCCAAGGAAAGGGCGCAGAGCGATGCAGAATCCCTTCTGGGGTCCCTTCTTGGGATGCTCGCCCGAGAGAGAAAGGAAAAGGCGAGGAGGGAAGGCGAAATGGACGGAAAACCAGCGCGACGGCTCGGCAAACGGAGGATCGGGCGCGATGTTTTGTTTTTTTTTCCCTGCTCGCCTTATTCCTGCCTCGATAAATCGATTTTTTTCTTCCACCCCCCCCTCTCTCCGATCCGGAAGGGAAGGAGTCAACCGAGTTGGTCCTTGGTGCCAATTGGTAGTTTCCCCAAGCCCGATCTTCGGAGTGGGGCGGGAGGAGGAGGAAAAGAGTGAGAAAGACGGGCAGCGAAGAAAGGGAGGCGGGCAGGGCAACGGGGGAGGAAGCGCAGATTCTCGGGCGACACCGCGCAGTCGATCCAGAAAGCCTCCGCCTCCCCCCTTTTCCAGGGCTGGGAGGCGGGCAGGGCAACGGGGGAGGAAGAGCAGATTCTCCGGCGACACCGCGCAGACGATTCAGAAAGCCTCCGCCTCCCCCTTTTCCAGGGCTCTGGGCCCCCCCCGATTCTCACAGCCCCCCCTTTCAGACAGTCCAGATCCCACCCAATCAGGGAGCAGAGGAGGGAGAGAAGCCCCGTTCACAAGCTGGTTCAGAGAAGAAAGCATATTCCTGGGACAGATGTAATATCCTCCCTGGTCCAACCTGCGGATCTTGTAATGTTTGACCACATCCCCTTGCGGCGAGCTGTCTCTAATGGAAAGTGAGTAGTCGCCTGGAAGAAGAGGAGGAGCAGAAGTGGAGTGACTTTTGTGGCATTCAGACAGATCTTAGGATGGTAGAAGGGACCCTATAGATCATCTAGTCCCGTTCGTGGATGCACAGAAGGGGGAGGTGGATCTGTATTTTTTTTTTTTTAGGGCAATGATGCCGAGTTCCGAATCTCACTGGAGTCCTCATCATCAGTGTCAGATGGAGGGGGGGGCAGCCATCTGATGGCTTCTCTCTGGAAGCTGATCCTAGAGTATCAGGGCCTGCAATCCCCCCCCCCCAGCGACTCCAAGGCCATTCCTGATTATGTTTATTTATTTATTTAATTTATACCCCGCCCATCTGGCCCATAAGACCACTCTAGGAAGCTTCCAACATAACATAAACAATAAAATACAAAATATCACATAAATCATACCATGCTCTGGGTTCGGGTTTCCGAGGATCATGGGATATTTCTTGTTCCCTGTGGCTAAGCCAGAAGCAGCTTATAGTGGCCCTCATAGAGTTTTCAAGGCACGTGAGCTATTTAAGGAGTGGCTTTATCAGCATCACTCTCCTCGTGAGTTTGCATGGTGGAGCAGGGATTCGAATCCTGGCCTCCCAAGGTCCTGATCCATCACTCTGTCCACTACACCACACTGGGTATAATGGGTTGCTTAAGGGGTAGTTTTACCAGTGACACCCCCAGTGAGTTCCCGTGACCAAGCAGAATTTGAACCCATGTCTCTAGAGTCTTGGCTCCACGCTCTAGACTACTCTGAATGGCTAAAGCCACTTTTGAGTTCGAGGCCTCCAAGGTGCTGCTCAACCCTTATGTCGGGGGGGGGGAAGCTTCAGCCCCTTGTAAAGGGCGGAGTGAAATCCAGAACGGATTCACACTGGCCCCTAACCCTGTGCATGCATTGCGGTGCCCACAGGTCAAGAATGCTCTCTCTCCGTCAAGATTCCTAGCTTGAATGCCATTTGGAAAAATTAGGAGCCCTCCCTGCAAATTTTGCTGACGTGCCATTCTGCAGCTTTACCCCAAGCCCAGAAAGAAAGAAAAAACCAAATTAAATAAAACTCTGCACATGCCTTGGAGAAATGGATGACCCCAATTCTGCGTAAAGAAATTGGGTGAAGTGGCATCTAAATCTGACACGAATGTGCCAATTTTATATATATTTATATTTTAAATATTTGGAATGGCGTAAGGACAGGCGTTCATAAAGCTGAAGTGAGAAGATCTGTCTCCCCAAATCCATTCAGACAATGACAGTACATTTACTTACACAAAAATGCAGATGTTGAGTCAGGCTGGTGGATGCAGCTCCCGATTCAAGAGCAGCGGTGTGTTGCAACACTGGAGTAGGGTTTGGTAAATCCAGATTATAACACACGCACCCCACCAAGCCAAGCCCCTCATACAGCTACCTTGAGCCACTCCTTTTACCTCGGCCTGGCCTACCTCACAGGGGTGTACTGAGGAGGACAGGGGGAACTCATTAGAAAGCAGGAGGGCTCTAAATTTGACAGAGGAGGAGCTAAGGAAACACAAGCAAAATCTTGTTTTTGGCTATAACCAATAAACATCATTAAACTAGCAGCTAAGGATGCCTTACTTCCTGTGTGGATTTCGGAGCAGTCACTGTCTTTCATATTGTTGCAATTAAGTAGCAAGCAGAAAAGCCATACTTTGTCCTCACAGGGAGGGGGGAGAGTGAGATACAATGTAATCAATTAATAAACTAATAACACCAACCTGATTTCTTTCTTATACTATAGGCTACCCAAAACTAATAACAATGCATTTCCCCCTTTTAAAAAAAAATCAGAATTAAGAACACACACAAAACTAGAATACTGAATCCTCAATATTATTCAGTAATTAACATAACTCACTGTGAAGCAAGTATCATCTCCAAAAGATGGGGGGGAGACAAAGACTCAGTTTGGGAGGATGATATCCACAGCTGGTAGGCCCTATAAAGACCCCAACAAGCCAGTAATCAGCTTGTAACAGCTTAGTAAAGTGGGGGAAAATGTCTTTACTGAAGCTTTTACTTGTTTCAGGTTAAGAGCAGTATATTGGCTGACATGTCTAATCCCCTTTAAGTAATTAAGAAAGCTCGTTCATGGATTTGGTCTTCCTAGAAACAGCCACATCCTGCCAATGACTGTGTAAAGTACTTGAAAAATCTTCTCTAAAACTACCAACTTACCTTGCCTCTCATTAGCTGCTTCTTTGCTAAAGAATCTGCAGAAAACTAAACTCTGTAAGAGAAACAGCAGCCTTAACTGCTTAACCCTTAATGAAAAGCCAGGACAGCTGCGCCTGCTCTATTTAAAGGATCACCAGCCAATCAGAGAGCCCATAGAACTCTGCCCAATCAGAGGCATCTGATTGAGAAACCACACCCCTTTTTTTCTGGTAAAGGTAGTTCCATCCCAACCAAGTTCGGTTGAGTGGAAGCTACGTGTTTGAAATTGCAGGCTTTGATTACCCAATTTGATAATGCATCAAGTAATTAAAAAATAAACAAATATCACCAAAGTTTTTTTGTATTTGGAATGTTCCTTCAGAGATGAGTATCTATGCATCCTTCACAAAGTCTGCTAGAGACAATAAGATATTTCTCTATGCAAAGATTTGCAGTGATAACTGCTCAGTGGCTTATTTATTTTATTTATTCACATTTCTTTCCCAGAACGAACCTGTTGTTATTATTATTAATGTACGTATTTGATTCCTGTCAAACGCTTCTCTCCAAACGGAGGCTGAAGCCAGCTCAGAACAGAACTGGAGCACGGATTAAAAATAGGAACAGGTTAAAATCTGTGCAGATGGCTGTCAAGCTAAAATGCCGCTAAACAAACGGTGAGATTCAAATTGGGGATTGGGGGTGAAAACCGAAAACATGTTGGCCAGAATCTGATAGAATCCTTACATTGGTGGAAGAGCAGTGCTGTACCCCGGGTTGGTGAATAGCTTGAGCTGAACAAGTCCACGTTTGAATTCCAGTCATGAGCTAAGTCGCGCTACTAGCAGGCAATCAGGCATCCAACCGGGGACTTGTTAATTATTTATTTACTTATCCCTTTATTTATTTATCCCTTCGACTTGTACGCCGCCCGCACTCTGCAAGAGGTTCTTTGAAGCACGTGAGATCTGTGATGAAAAGGACGTGGAGGAATGCTAAAATAAATCTCATGCAAAATTCTCATCCAAAATTTCCACATTTTGCTTTTCGGATATCCTTTTTCTTTTCCTCTTTGGACATGGGGGGATGTTAAAGATTTGTATTACAGCAATCCCTTTGTTGACTTTTGCACACGAGGCTCCGTGTGATGCGATGGAGAGAGGACTCCGGACTAAGATCTTAAGAAGCCAGGATTTGAATCCATGCATGGGAAGTTTCCAAATTGAATATTTACACCATTCAGATGTCTGTAAGGTGTCTGTCTGTCAGGAAGAGCTCGCATGGGAAGTTTCCAAATTGAATATTTACGCCATTCAGATGCCTGTAAGGTGTCTGTCTGTCAGGTAGAGCTCCTAGAATAGAGAATAATGGGATCTGTAGTCCTCCAGAATAGAGAATAATGGGATCTGTAATCTGAGAAATCTGAAAATCCCATCCTTACCAGGTATGTAAAAAACTGTAGATAAAATTGTTGGGGTTATTTCAGCCTCACATGCTGGTTTGGCTAGGAGGGACCTTTCTTGATTGGGGTGACGATCAATCTATCCAGTTCTTACCAATTATTCCTTTCTGCCTCTGAATTCAAAGAAGAGCCCACCTCTCTGTTCAGTGCATTTTCCCTCTCTCGGGTCTGTTGAAGTCTGTTGTTGAAAGCTGTCATGTTTGTCAGTTTGCGCTTCAACTGTGAGTAAATGAAACAATTTTATTCTTTCTCTTACAAATGTCTCAGAGTGCATTATTGAGCATGTAAGTGCCAGTTGATGAGAAAAGGGGTGGTTACTTTGAGGAACCAGAAGCTTCTCTGCCCCATAAATCCCTGCACTTCTGCTGCACAGCTAGAGAAATTTAACCAAAGACTCAAAACTGTAACAAAAATAACCCTCAATTAAAGTGAACCGGAGTGAGTTCCTTACAGGATCCTAGAGAGGGGAGTATTAATATTTTCTTTGTATATTTTTATTTTTTTCCCAGATTTCCTGTGATAGAGACTCCTCAGGAAGTTGAAATGAGCAAGTGGCATGTCCTTGCAAGCAAAATAAATGGCAAATCGTTGCTAGCAATGCAAGCAGACACTTGCAGCCATCCATCTTTGACATCTCAGGGAAGTGATAGAATTTTCAAATGTAACCAAGTCCTCTCTGAAATATGATTGCATTCAGAATGGCATTTGTATTATTATTATTTATTTATTTTACGTAGACAAGAACGAATAGAATCAGATAGGTGTTACATTTCAAATGACACAATTGGGCTTAGGGTAGAACTTGATGCCCTGCTTTTCAGGAGAGCCTGCAGATCTTGAATCAGTTTGCTTTTAAAAGAGAATTTAATTTTTTTGTGGGTGAGGTGGCTTATGAAACAATTTTCTAGGAGCGGAAGGCAGCTGGGAACTTTGTAATTTCATTACAAACTTTCAGGTGGAGAGATTAGTGTGTGCAAGAGAGTCAGGGAATGAAGAAAGGGTGTCTGATCTTGAAATAACACTAACTGTGCTGTCAAGTCCATTCTGACTTATGGTGATCCTTTTCACATTTCCTAGTTCAAAGTGGTTTCCCATTCCCTTTCTCTAGGGGGCGCCCTGGGACTGTGCAGCTGGCCCAAGGCCATCCAGGCTGGCTCTTCTCCCAGGAGGCCCAGTGGGGGAATCGAACTCCCAACCTCCAAATCCATAAGCAGATATCAAAACACAGAGCTATCCAGGCAGCTTCTCTAACTTGAATCCCTTGCTTTTGAAGACTTCTGATTTCACACACGAATTGTTCCTCTTGTGTGTGAATCATGACCGTTATAAAGTATTGTTGGGATCACATGTTCATGGTTGAGATCCTTGACCTAAATTTGAAATGGGTGAAGGTCGGAGAAAACAAGGGGGACCATTCTGCCTCCTAGCTTTTAGACTGGGCTGGGTATTTGAAGGATGAAAAGGAAGTGGAACCAACCCCCCAGCACTCATCCTTAGCTAAGTCTTTATCCTAAAATGCCCCTTTTTAGAGGAACTACAAGCTGAGTCATAACACAATGCCAATCTGGGACAGGCACGGAGGACCTTCTGTCCTACAAGAGGTTCAGTGTCAGCATGGAATTACAGTGGTGCTTCACATAACGAGCGCACCGTTTAATGATGAATCTGCATAGCGACGTGTTTTTTGCGATCGCTAATGCGATCGCATTGTGATGTTTAGATAGGCTAAACATCGCATTGCAATGTTTAGAAAACAGCTGATCGGCGGTTCCAAAATGGCCACCAGATCAGCAAAATGGCCGTCCGCAGCATTTTCGTGCCCTGCCCTCGCTTACCGGGCAGCGAAAATGGCGGCCGGATGGGGGAATCTTCACTTACCTGTGAGTTTTCCCCCCATAGGAATGCATTAAACTGAGTTTAATGTG